GCCGAACACGAGGGTTCTGAGTACAGAGTACGGAGTACAGAGTATTGTACAGAATATGGCATGATAGCGTCAGTAGACCCACCGTCCGTTGATAAGACTGTCTGGCCGAATCGTGATGATTTCATGGTTATTTGATCTCTCATCATCTATTATTCGGGCTTCGCCCGTAGTGGATGACTTGGAATGATGCGATGTGCGATGCAATATGCAATATGTGATATGTGATATACAATATTATACACTATACACTAATCAGACAGAGGGGTATATGAAACAACAAAGCAAGAGGGAACTCCTCAACAACAACAACACATGCGCCTCCACACGCTCGGACGCGATGCGCCCGGTTTCTCCTGCGCCGATTCGTCGTTTGCCGATTTCTCATCTTCATTCGTCCCGGCCTGACCATCCTTCGTCCGTCGCGCACCTCTCCACATGCGACGCCAACCTCCCGGCGAACGTCTTGTCTCGGTCGCTTTCACCTCGGCCGGTCGACTTCTCGCCTCGCCAGGCGTCTTCGCGGCTGACGACTCCCCCGCAGGACCGTGCGCTGTCGCCCGACCGCTCTGATAATGCAATCGACGCGCCTCCACCACGCGCCGCACCAAGACTAATCCGTCAGTAAACAGCATCTCCAACAGGGACTAAAGAACGCACGGGCAAACGTCTCCTCAATATTCACCATCTCCCGCGCACTCGTCTCCATAAACCCACAACCATGCTGGCGCGCGTACTCCAACCCGTCGCGGGCGGCGATGGCGCGGGCGTCTTTTAAATCGCACTTGTTCCCGGCGATGATCTTGACGGGCGGCGGCATGCCGACGTCCAGCCCGTGCGCGCTGTCGCCGAGCTCCTTGCGCAGCCGGTCGTTGTCCTCGAGGCGCTGCTCGGCCTCGATGTCGATCAGGTCCATGAAGTAGTCGAGGGCGCCGAGACTGGCCGCGTTGGTGATGTCGTAGACGAGCAGGAAGGCGTCCGATTTGAGGGTGGCGGCGGTCCAGAGCCCGCGGTATTCCTCCTGTCCGGCGGTGTCGGTGATGGAGAGGAAGTAGGGGATGCCGTCGATGGTGCGGGTGACGGAGTAGGAGTCTTCTGTAGCGAGTGGATGAGTATGGGGTCGACAGGGGAGGGGAGCGGAAGACGCGTACCGATTGTTGGGTCATATCTGTCGCACGCAGGTAGTTAGCCGAGATGAGCTCACAAGTTTAGAGAATGAATCGAATTAGTGAAAGGAGTTGAGACGCACTCGTGGATCCATTGGCTGCGCACCAGGCGAAGAGTGATGGAGGATTTCCCTGTCAAATGCACGGCATCAGATCAATCCATTCCGCGTTCCGGCCGCGCATTGCTGCAGACACAACGTCGCCGATCAACAGGGGAATCCTGGTTTACGTACCGCATCCGCCATCACCGCAGATGGTGACGGAGATCTTGTTGGGGGCGTCGTCGGCCATGGGGTGCAATCGGGATGAGGAGGAAGAGAGCGACGAACGGGGAGAAGTTCGGACCCAACGGTCGTCAGGGATGATCAGCGGGCGGAGCGAATCAGGACGAGGAATGTTGAGCAGTGGATTCTGTCTGATTCTGTTGATCGTTCGGGTATGGAGGTTATACTCCGGAGTACCGAGATAGAGGACAATGGGGAGTTATCGAAGACGAAGCGAGCATGGCACTAATCATAATATAAGGAAAAGGGGACGTAAGGGTGGGAATTCCCCTGGATGATTAAGTTCTGGCTCGGAGATTTGCCCGATATCTGACACGCGAAATTGATTGATATTGATCTTGATATAGTTTATAGTATATTAAGTACATAGTACCGAGTCTATCTCGCCGTTGAGTTTGTATGGAGTATGGAGTATCTTGATACAATTATCGATTCAGGTACAACGACAAGGCACGTATCTGTCAATCGGATGGTGTGGCCACTTTCTCTGCCATTCAGCGATGATCCTCCGTATATTGGATACCTGAGAAATAAGATTCTGAATACAACCATAACAAATAACTGCCTTGTACCTAGTACTCTACCTAATACTGCTTGCATGCTCCATCCATTGACCCACGTGACCGTACCTGAACCGCGAGAGAGGTACCTCTGCAGCCAATTTGGCGGGGAGAATACATCCCCAGGTGTGGCAACCTCACCACCCTCATCATCCCTGTCTTCGTCTTCTCTCTCTTCTTCTCTTTTCTCTTTCTCTTCTCTTCTCTCTTCCTCTCTTTATTCATCTCTTCTCCTTGACACCTTGACAAATCTCCTCTCTGACATCCCTCCCCCTGTGATCCATCACATTCTCTCCTCCTCCCACCCCACCATCGTGCGTTAGACACATCAGCTTCCCCGTGATTGGCATATCCCGTGGCGGTCCAATCCTCGTATATCTATCAATCCAGACCATGGTTCTCCAATTCATTCGCCGTCTCTGCTGCCCCTAATTCTCTGGCTCGGCGCTCTCCGTCGTACCTGGCCCTTGTCGACATATCCCGTCTGTCTTAGCGGTCGATGACATCTCGCCGTCGTATATTAACCGGGCCACCGTCGATTCTCCGCACGACCAGCGCCATACTGACTTCTCTCCACCATCGCTCCCGGACTCAAAAACTCGCCATTCGCACCGTCTCCGTTCTTCCGTCCTATTAAACCACGGGGAATCCGGTTTTCTTCCCTGATTGTTGCATGAACCCCGTTCGCTAGCTCTCTGTGATCTCGTCGATGCGCTCCCCTCATTGGTCGGGGGGCTCGAATCACTCGATCGGTCTGGCATGGAAGGCTTTGGCGATGGTTTCTATGACGCTCAATATGCGATCCCACCACACTCGACTCAGCCCTCGGACGACAATCATGGGCCGATGATCTCCTACGTCTCCTCGGGCTCTCTGCCCCCTGGCAATTATTCTTATTTACCCCCCGGCACCCCGTTTATGATCCCATCCCACCCGACCGACCTGTCGTCCTTTCCCCAACTTCCCCAAACATACCCTTCACACTCCGCCCCCATGGGAGATCGCGCCTCCAATCCCCTGTTTGACTATGATCCTCTCTCTCTGACCGGCGATGCCATGTCCGTGGGCATGGACCACGGCAATACCTTTGTATACGACCCCGCCAACTTCCCATCGCCCGGTCTCTCCATGCAACATCGTGTGGATGACAATGCCGCGCCACAGCACACCTTGGAGTCGCAGTCGATGGCGCTCGCCCATCACACGACCTACTCGAACCTGCAATCCGGCCAGCCGGCGTCCAGTCTCTACTGGGGGATGGGCGAGCCGTCCCAACCGCAGTCGGACATGGTGGATGGACCATCCCAGATGACGCAGCCAGATGCCGCACCCTCGCGTCGACAGCCCCAGGAGGCCCAGGCCTTCCCCCAACCGCCACCGGGGTACACTCATCGGTACATCCAGCCCAAAGGACCGGCTCCAACCAAGGGTGAGCGAGTAGCACCATCACACGAGACCACCGCTAATAGAATCCAGGAGCGCTTCCCTCCGGGGCCAAAGACGCTACCGGGGTGGATTCCCAGTATGCCAGCATCTACTCCAGTAGCGGGTTCGATATGATGGGTGTTTTGGTAGGTCGTTGAGCTTCCTTCCTCGACCGCTTGTTGATCCTTCTAGGCGCAAGTCGTCTCCAGACCGAACCCCAAGATCAACATCGGCGCCGTCGATCTCTCGTGCGCCTTCGTCCTGTGTGACATCACCAAAGAGGACCATCCCATTGTGTACGTCTCCGAGGCGTTTGAGCGGCTGACGGGATATACCGAAGACGAGATCCTCGGCAAGAATTGTCGCTTCCTGCAAGGTCCCGATGGAGTGGTTCATCAAGGCATGCGACGGACCTTTGTCGACCAGCAAACCGCGTTTCGGCTGCGATCGACCATTGAAGAACGGACGGAGATCCAAGCAAGTCTGATCAACTACCGTAAAGGAGGACAGCCGTTCATGAATCTGATCACGATGATTCCTGTTCGGTGGAACTCGGCCGACTACCGGTTCTACGTTGGGTTCCAGGTCGACCTGGTGGAGAAGCCCGACGCCGTCACCCGGAGGAATCCAGGTATGCACCTATAGAAGCCACCCTACTGCGGCGACTGACACATATCAGATGGCACCTACATCGTCAACTACCAGCGGAGCAAGCTCCCCCGTTACGTCGTCCCCCCGGAGGAGGTCTATCGCATGCGCCCTGACCTCGTGCCCCAGTTCAACCCGGCCCAAGTCTCGATCATTCTAGGCAACCTGCGCGGCCCCAACCCGACCTACCGAACATACTTGGATCGCGTCCTGGCGGACAATACGGGTGACGTGCTTCACGTCCTCTCCTTCGAAGGCGAATTCCTCTACCTCTCGCCGTCCTGTCGAGCGATGCTCGAGTATGATTCCGCCGAATTGATCGGCAAGACGCTGTCGACCATCTGCCACCCCAGCGACATTGGCCCGGTGATTCGAGATCTCCGCGCCTGCACCAACTCCGACCCGATCACTGTGTTGTATCGGATCCGGCGCAAGCACAGCGGCTATGTCTGGTTTGAAAGCCGCGGTGCGTGGCATATCGGCGAGCGCGGCCGACAGCATATGGTGCTCGTGGGACGGACGCGGTCGGTGTACTGTCTGGACCAGGTGGCGAAGATCCGACAGCGTGACGGCATGGCCGAGAACGATCTGTGGGCGAAACTGTCGCTGTCCGGGATCATTCTCTTCATCTCGTCCAAGGCGCGGCCCGTGCTGGGCCGTCCCGCGGACGATCTCATCGGCAAGGGGATCCAAGAGCTGGTGGATCTGCGTGCCGAGGCGCAGCAGGCGCTGGAAGCGGCGCGCACCGGACGCGAGACCACGTTCACGCACCGCATCCGCCACAAGAAGGGACACATGCTGCCGGCGCGGACGACGCTGTTCCCTGGCGACACCAAAGAGGGCGTGCGACCGTCCTTCTTGGTGGCGCAGTTGTGCTTCCCGCGCTCGCCGCAGGGCACGCCCACCAGCGACGACTCCAGCACGGTGCGTATGTCCGAGTCGGACCGCAACAACAGCCAGAGCTCAGACGAGTTGATCACCTCCGGGTGCAGCCGGCTCCCCAGCGGCAACGACTACGTGCCGACACTGCGGACGCCGCGGCCACTCTTCCCGGAGCTCCATCCCACGCGCGGGTCGAGCTGGCAGGTGGAGCTGCGCGATCTGGAGAAACAGAACCGGGGCCTGGCGGACGAGCTGCAGCGGCTGCTCGCACGACGGAAGAAGCGCAAGCGCAAGCTGACGTCGACGCTGGTGGAGAAGGTCTGCGCGATGTGTCAGACGCGCAAGACGCCCGAATGGCGCCGCGGGCCCAGCGGGAACCGCGATCTCTGCAACAGCTGCGGATTGCGATGGGCGAAGCAAGTCCGCGCAGGACGGAGTTGATCTAGCTTTGATGTACGAGGCGTATAGGTTGGTTTCTGCGTTTAGGTTCAGGTTCAGGTTCAGTTTGATCAGGCTCCAAGTTGGGTTTTGCCATAGCGCCTATGTACACTAGTCCTATCGTACAGTCCGTCTTTCCAAAAGCAAAAAGCATAGTCTCTTCTATCATGCAGCATGCAACCACTTCTCTAGCCACCGTCTCTCCTCCCGTTCCGCATCCCACCCCTCCAGCCCCTCCGCAACTCCCACGCCCCCGCGCTCCTCCACCGCAATCGTCACCTCCGCCGCCTCCATCGCACCCACACCACCACACCCCCGAATCAACCCATCATCCACCTCCAGATACTCCACATACCTCCGCAGACGCGCCCGATACACCGGCGCAAGCACGTTCACCCTCCTCTTCCCGCCGATCCCAAAAACAGCACACGCGCGCATCACCTCCTCCACCGACGCCCGCTCCACCCACTCCGCCCTGCTCAGCCCACGCAACAGCGCCACCTCCGCCGCCATCCCGGGATCACTCACCGACCCCGTCTGTGCAGCCAGCGCCGCCCGCTTCTCGACCACCCGCTTCCGCCGCGCCTTCGCTATCTGCCCCGGCACCCGACACGTCAGCGGGGTAACGGCGTTCCCCAGCGCCAGGATCACCAGCGGCGTCATCTCGCCACAGATTATCAGGATCAGCGTGAACGGGATCATGCGGCGCAGGTCGTAGGCGGCGCGCCGGACGAGTTGGAGGTTTGCGCGGCTGAGCTGCGCGGCTGCGACTTTCGCTTTGAAGACGCTCGCTGCCCCTGTCGGGGCATGGGGGTTATCTGCGGCTGCGGCTGCGGCGAGGTCGGCGTTGCGGGGCGGCGAGCTGGGGATGTAGGCGGGTAGACCCAGGGCGCGGCGCAGCGGGATCGAGGCGCGGTAGTTGTGGTAGACGTTTTTGAGGCCGGTTTTGTAGAAGGAAAGGTAGGCGCGGCCGAGGGCGATGTAGCGTTTGAGTTTGGTGGAGGTGTCGGCTGAGGCGGGGAGCGCAGCGGGCAGGTTCAGGTCTGCGGGGCGCGTGCTGGGGGGTGGGTTGAGGTCGTTGGGGAGGGAGGTGGTTGCTGTTGAGGTTGTGGATGGAACGCGTGTGGACGTCGGTGGTTGGGCGGAGGAGGAGGGTCTGCGGTGTGATTTGGCGGAGTAGGGGCGGATTGAGTAGATGGAGAGTGGGAGGAGGAATTGAGGATGAGAGTGCAGGCGTCGGACGCCTAAGGCGATTGGGGGAGGCATTGTTGGTGGTGGATGGTGGAGGTTGTGAAGACGTCGAGATGTTCGGGACATTTAAAATTAGTGCTGCCTCAGGCAGAAGCTGACTACATCGTATGGAGTACATACTATTACCCAATCTGAGGATGCACTCCACACACCATTATCATTATCACAGGCTCATCTACTTCGTCAATACAAATCGACCTCCATGGCAATCGCACTGTCCGACACAAATCCCGACACAAATAGCAACGCCTTCCCCTTGCTCTCCCCCGGCACCAGCACCGCGGAACTGGCACTCCGGATCATCGTCCCATCATCCTCCACCAACAACTTCGTCTCCCACTCGCCTGACCGTCCCCGCCGTGTATACCACACCATGGCGCCGTCCCGACCCTGCGGATCAGCATGGGTGTGGGTGATGTCGATGGCGCGGCGCAGGCCTGCCTGGACATAGCCGCTGGCGTCATCACCCTCGGTGGCATGCGGGTCCGCGTAGAAACTCGGGTTGTCGATGGTGCTGTCGTACCGGAATTCATCGACGACCTCGAGAGCATCCGAGTCCTGGACACGCCGCGCACGGTACATGGTGCCGCCGACGGCGCTGCAGATGAGGATCTCGTCCGGGGACTGGCCGTGGCCCAGGCCGTTGTTGTTGTGCAGGCCGGTCAGGGCGGTGGTAGCGTGGACCTTGTCGCCATCAAGCTGCAGATGGATGATATTGGACCAGCGCGCGGCGGGAACAAGGTCCTCAAAGGCACGTTTGAGGCCCTCGCGGTAGAAGTGGTCGTTCGTGACGTAGACCGAGGTCGGAGACTCGGCGTACAGGTCGTTCGGAGTGACGACGAGAGGGTGGAAGATGGAACGGATGTGGCGGACAGAGGAAGACCCCAGGACGTGGTGGAAGAGCTCGATCTGCGAGCGTGCCTTAGATATGTCCATGCTGGGTGTCGCTGTGTCGAAATACTCCGGGTTGGAGAGGTGGTTGACCGCGAAGATGTAGAGGGCGCCGGAGCGCTCTGGGTCGTCCACGATATCGATCCCATGAGTGACAAAAGGCCCAGAGAAGTTCTCAAACGCCAAACGCGTCGATTTCATCGTCTACAGGTGGTTAGTTGGTTGGCGTCCCTTCCCGGGGTGAGATGTACCTTCGGGTTGATGACATGAATTGATCCCGCCGAGGTTGCCGGTCCCTGGAGATTAGCCAGCCCAGGATACCATTTGAACCGGGGCTGGACTGAATCCTCGCATGCCGTGAAGATCTGCCCGGACCCCTCATGGTAGTGCAGGTCCTCGCATTGCATGGTATCGGGGATCTCCTGGAACGAATGCTTCACTCCCATTGCGTCTGACTTGCGCCACACGCCCAGGACGGTGAGCTCGCGCGACACCGGACCATAGAGAGTGGCCACCAGCACGGCGAGGAGGGCGAGATTCATCAAGACGCCCATGTTATCAGTAGTGGTGGACTGTTTCTGTTAAATGGAAGGGATAGAGAAGGAAGCAGAGTCAGTTGAATCAAGCAGTCAGTAGAGCAGAACCTACCGACAGTCTCGGTTACTCCGCAGACGTCGAGTGGAGACGAAGTCGATCATTCGCCAGACGGGGTATGTGTCGATGAAACTGGGGAATAACCTCGGATGTCGGTGCGCCAGGCAGAAACAATGACGACGACCAGAAACTACTCGGAGGACAGTCCCGTAGGAATCCAAAAAGGCCAGAGCATCCGATTGACGTAACTAGGCAAAACGTACACGACATGCTCCACAATCTCAGCAAATGCTTCCCCGTCCGTAAAATCCAGAATTAAGGGCAAATTGGTCCGTCCATCACTGTTCCTAAATGCAATCCCCGAGTCGGTCGCTGATTTTCACGCCATGTCAAACTCTCTTCCCGTCGTAAATTAGTTGCGTACAGATCGGGCGTCCATGTATTCCTGGTCACTGGCATCCAGGATATCGTATTCCTCATCGGTCAGGAATCCGGCCTCGGTATCATCGTCTCCGAGCGTCAGGCTCTCCACGTCTTCCAAAATATCCTGGTCGGACGAGTTGGTCACGGACGGGGCGGGCGCTGTAGTCGCTGCCTCGTGGGTGCTCGCAGCCGGGGACTCCTTCTCCAGCTTCGGGAAGATCATCTGGCTGCCGGTGGTCTCAGTCTCAGGGGCGGATCTCTCCGACTCACCCTCAACCGGCGGCACGTCTTCTCGGACGCGGATATCACACCACAACCGGTGACCAAACGGAGTGCCATCCGCCAGCTTCAGGCGCCAGTAGGAGATGGCGGTGCCCACGCGGCTCGGAGCTTTGAGGACCACCGTGAAGTTGGCGCGCTGGCCCGGCTGCACCGGGTCGGCGAGCTGGTTGCTCTCGGTCGCGTAGTTAACCGAGGAGAGGCTAAGCGGAGTATTCGTATCCACGTTAAACATGGAATCACCGCCAACGAACCGGACGAAAGTGCCGGCGGGCCAGGCAAGCGGACCAGGATTGTAGAGCGTCCAGGTCTGTTCGAACACTTTGTTGGGAGGCATGGCCGTACCGTCCGCGACAGTGTCACGCTCGAAGAGCGCACGATAACTGGCATCTGTAGTATCGGCCGGTTTCTCCGCGACCTTCATTGGCGATTCTGGAGCCGGCGCGGTGGGCTTCTCGGTAGCCTCGACCACTGGAGACTCGACGACAGGTTTAGGCAAGTTCACCCGAGGCGACGGCTTGCTCGACTCCACGGGTGAAGTGCGTTGGACCGGCGAGGGATTCGCCGGCAGATCACCGAACGAGCGGATGGAATCACCCACGGGGTTCGCCTGGATCGTGCTGACGCTCACATTTTGAACCGGAGTCTTGAGCATGATCATCGGATGCGTACGACTGTGCGAGTTGGTCGGAAGCGCCTCACACTTGGCGCAGAAATCTGTGTCGTAGCAGATGGAGCACTTGTAGCGGACGCCAATGATGTAACTGGGGAACGGCTTGTCTTTGCAGAGAGGACCGTCGCAGTAGATACCGGCGTGAACCTCGCGGTGCTGGGGCGGGTCGGCAATAGGGCCATACAGAGGGACGAACCGATGTCCGGGGTGAGTCTGCGCAGCCTTCTGATGGCACTCTGCACAGTAGTCCCAGTCGGGGCAGGACAGACACTTGTGACGTACGCCGGTGATACGCTGAGAAGTCAGCATCTGATTGGTTGGTGGACAGAGGTAAGCTTACCTTTTCACAACCGTCACAAATTGCCGAGTGCTGTCTGTTGCGGCCCGCCTTGCAACGCGACAACACCAGACTCTTCAAAGAGAACTCCTGGTCTCGAATCAGAGTGAATGTATGAGCGGGGTGGTGGCCGTGGGTGTTGTTGAGAATGCAGGTGGTGCAAAGGTCGTAGTCCTCGCAGTCGACACACGTGACCATCTTGGTTTCGTCATATTCTATAGGGAAGTTAGCGAAATCCCAGTGTACGTAATGACACATGGACATACCACGGAGGCAGCCATTGCAGATTCTCTCCTCAGTAGGGTCGGCCGGTGCTGGTGCTGGTGCTGGTGCTGGTGCTGGTGCCGGTGCCTCCCGGGCCACATAAGGTGCTGGCGACGTCGGGGGTGCCATGGGAGCGGGAGTCGGGACCTCTGAAATGAGATCGGTCTGTTTCTGCTCAGGCTCCGTGGCGCGGGCCTTGCGAGGAGCCACCGTTTCGGTGGTGCTGTTGGTAACAATGCCGTCGGTGACGACCCGCTTGATTAACCAGTGCTCGTCATCCAAGCACGTAGCGCCGGACTGAACACAAGGGAGACACAGGTCATAGTCACCGTTCTCACAGATGCTGCAGTGATAGTGTTCGTTGGGAATCGATCGACCGCACTGGTTGCAGTCGATACAGAAGATGCCGGTGGGCGACGTGTGGGAGACGACTGGGGTGGTGAGGTTGTCGGGAACGAACTCCCGATAGGACGTCGACGGATTGCACCAATGCGCGGGGTTGGGAGCGTCGACCATGGGTTGATCGGTGGAAAGGGGAGAGCTCAAGACGGTCTCGAGATAGTTGCACCTTTCCGTGGGGACGAGGGGTTCCGGAAGTTCTTCGGGCTGGGAGGGGGTAGGTTGTTCATTCAACTGGATGACTCTAATCCGAAGCTTCAACTTGGCCTTGGCAGCGCGATAGAGTTGTTTGTAGACAGCGGAGTTGTCGGCGTCGAGACGGACGTAACAGCCGGCGCTGTCGGAGTAGCGTTCAAAGATGACGTTAACATCTGCGGGAATGCCAAGAAGTTGGCGGAGCTACGGACGTTAGTACGTTGGAATGATGTGTGGGATGTGAGAATAAGGAGAGACGGAGAATAGAGTGAGGGGGAGCATCTTCCAGATATCAATACGTCATTCCCATAAGCCAACGTGGGATGGCTGAAGGATTGATGCCTAGACCATATGGACAGGGATGTGATGGTATGACGGTGGAGGTCATTCCGGTCGGAGCTCGAGTGGAGAACGGGGAGAGTGTCATCATACCTTCTGGGGTAGAACCCGAGCCCCGAGGTCCTTCAGAGGGACCTTGAAGCGACGGTTATTGTCGTTGTAGAGAAGCTTGAGGGTGATGAGAGTATTGGGGTCCACCGAGACCACTGCGGGAGTGGAGGATGACATGACGATGCGGTCGGTGGACGATGGAGTGATAGTCCCGGAAGGGATGAGGAGTGGAGCTCCCGCGAGGAGTACCTCAGAAACTAATCAAGATGAGATGGTGGATAGGATGTCCGAGATGGGGACGAGATGGGGGATTTGATGAGAAGAGAGAGTGAGAGGATGGAGAGAAGGGAAGTAGATGAGAAGAGAAGAAGAGGAGAGGAGGAGGAGGAGGAAGAGGAGAAAGACGGTGACTGCCTGGCAGGTAGGTCATCTGCTTCCGTATCCGTATTACCGGCGGTAAGGCTGGAAGTGGCTGCATTCGGCGGTGTACATCATTACAGATGACTAATGGCGTCATCATCCTGCTTCCTCTGTACAGTCCGTAGTTAAGTACTACAGGTAGGTACTAGGGAGGGAGGTGCTACCATTCTTAGTAGTATGTTTATCACCATGAGCATGTAGAGATCTTTTCGATAGAGATCCTTCCCCAATACACCCCTCCAGCGTTCGTCGTCCATCCCCTCCCGGCTAATCAAAGTGATGGTATCCTTACAATCAAGACGCAAACAAATCAACCCAGAAAACAGTCAGGAATCATAAGAAGCCCAATCAGAACTCGCTAGTACTATGCATCGAATCAAATCTACCCCAGAAACGGCCACAACAGAGGGCGGCATGGCGGACAACACCGTATCCGGGAGGCGAACGAGAGAACAAACCACGAAAGAACGACGCAACAATCATGCACAGTATGAGGGAACGAGAGTTCGTCAAGAAGGATGCAACGAGACATCGCCGGCAAAAAGAGACCATTAGTAATGAAATCGGAAGGAGGAAAGGAAATACTCCGTAACGGAAAAAGCAAGACGGGATCCCTGCGTCGTCAGGGAAGGACCATGCAATCGAATAACCTCATTGCGCGGGGTAGTAGACACCTCCCTGGGGCCCTTGCGGGGGCGGGTAGTAATACGCCGCCCCAGGAGGCGTCATCATACCCCCCATGCCCATCACCCCGCCCGGTCCCGGTGCGCCTGTCCCAGGCACCCCATAAGGCGAACCCGGATACATTTGCATAGCATCGTAGAAATACACCGTACCACCAGCCTCGTGGGCAACCGTGCCCGACTGGGAGGTCTGTTCCGTTGAGGGCGGGGCGCCTGCTACCACGTATGGAACCTGCCCGGAGCCATACGGTGGCACCCCGGCGTTATAAGCGGGGTATTCGGGCCCCGACCCAGGATAGTAGGCACCGCCAGGAGGATATGCCGCCGGGTAGTACGGTGGAATGGGCTGGAAGCCGTAGGGTTGAAACGGTTGCGCGTGGATCGCACGTTCGGGAATGTGCGACAGTGGCGTCACCGAGGAGTGCGTGGAAGGAGGATGAGTATCCGTGACGTGCACGGATCCGTTTGCATGGACCGGCACCTGGTGATGGAACGGCTGTTCTTGCTGAGGCTGGGGTGGGTTGAACGGGAACGCGGCCGGTGTTTCGATATCGGCAACAGAAACCGCCTTCTGCGGTCGCGGTTGATGCATCGGAATGGGTGCCGGGCGGCTCTCTCGATAGGCAGGGTGCAGTGGGGGCGGCGGAAGAGACGCAGGGACAGCAGTGGGCGGCATGCCTGGACCAGCAGGGAGAGGACGAGGAGGAGGGAGGCGAACGACGGGTTTGTTGTCGGTGGGCATCATCGCCGGCCGGGAGACAACCGCAGCAGCTGGTGAGTGATATCCTTCTTGTGGAATAGCCTTTCCGAGTGACGACCGTCGACTCACAACACTAGGCGTGTATGACGAAGCAGCGTAAACGCTCGGACGCCGACCGCCATAGAATCCCCCGCGACCGCGGCCACGATAGGCCTGCTGATTGGGTCGTAGCGCTCGGGGAATGAAGATAAACGAGCGCTCGAGGGCTGGGAAGATATACCGTGGCGCTTGTCCCGGGAGAGAGATCCGAACCGGTTTGTCACGACGTAAGGGTGGGCGATGCTGGGGGAGACGTGTGTGTTGCTTTTTCAACGCCTGGAAGGAGGCTGGCTGAGCCATGCCGGGTAGGAGGACGACTACAGGCACATTTCCAAGGACTGTCGTACTGGAGAGCGATCGATTGGGAGGTGACGTTCTGGGAGCGGTGGGAACCTGCTTTGGAGGGTTGTTGAAGGTGGAGGTCGGTGTCGGCTTGACGGTAGGAGGGTCATCCCCGGCAACCGTTTCGTGGAGATCATGCGTCCAGACACCTTCGCTAGCAGGCTTTGCGGTGTCCCTGATAAACGTTAGATTGTGTTATAGCCAAACGAAAGACAATGCGGAAGGGATGATGAACAACAAAAAACAAAGGAGCGACAATGGCCCATGTAATGTATTGACAGGGAGGGATGTGTCATACCTTCGTATAGTGCCATCCACGATGAGTCCATACGGTCTCGACTTCGTCCTGGAAGACGACTTGTGACCGTTCGATGCGGACTCGGTGGACCGCTTATCGTGAAGAAAGAAGCTCCCCCGAGTGGGAACGACCGCGGGATTCTCGTCCCTGTCCTTCGGCCCTTTCTCTGGCTCCCGACGCTTCCTGTCTGCAACAGTATCTCTCTTGGGTTCCGTCGGTGGTGCAGACGGCGTCCTGCCCGTTGGGAGCCCTGAAGTACCCTTCAGATCATCGAAGTGGAGTTCGGTGACCTCGTTCGTGTCCGCAATCTTCATCCCATTCATCATGGCCTCGGTGTCCGACATGGCCGTGGTGGCCTGGGGACGTTTCCCTGGCGAGCTTGAATGGCGACCCGACTGCTGGGAGTTTGTATCGGACCGTCGACCGTTGACTTGATGCCCATTGGTGGTATTCCCCGGCCCAGACGTCGACACCTCATCATCGCTTTCATCACTCCCTTCACCGTCGGCGTCATCGTCATCCTGATGCGTGACGCCGGAACCCTCGCTCAGCGAGTCATCCTCCAGTTCTCCGTCTATTGAGCCTTCGTCCTCGCCTTCCTCATCCCTTCTCCGTCGCCGACTGGCGCCGATGTTAACCCGCCGGAGTGCCATTTCGGGTGGGTAAATTCGTGAATCTAGGGTCGAGTTGAGAAACGAAGAGGGGGAATAGAATTAAATAAGGAGAGATATAGAATCCGAAATCGTGTAGTCGTTTTGTAAAAAAGCAGGATAACAGAGGGAGGAAGGGGAAGCTTTTGCCAGGTACGAAAGAGAAGCAAGTGGGAGGACCTGGGGTGGTCTCAACCGAGAGAACGGCAACAAATTAACAATATATCAGAGAAGAGAAGAAGAGAATCATGAATTCAGAAGAAAGAAAGAAGCACCTCGCAAACGAGGGCGAGAGGAAGAGGTAGGCTGAATGGATGAGAGTGAGTGAGGAGAAAGAGAAGCGTTGAGTCGAGGATGGAAGTGCAAGAGCCATGACATCTCGGTCCATGTCAACCGCCCCAATCGGGTTTAGGGTGGCCCAGACACCTCAGCATTCTAGACCATTATTCATCTATCAGTGTAGATAGTAGTTAACTACCTAGCTATGTATTATGTTTCCCTACATCATCTCACTAACAGAAAATCTCATCGGCAGAGTTATTAGAGAAGAACTACCAGTCTCCTGACTACAGACTGAGATCATCCAACGTCAACACCAACAATAGTCAAACGTTACTTGTCGGTTCCAAGCAACGGTCTAGTTCATACCACACTAGGCGGATTGACGGGCCGATCATCATACCGACCATTGAATATAATCAGTCCATATCTTTACAATCGACCGATAACTCGGTTGGATGCCATTTAATTCCACCAACATCGAGGGGTATCAGTAAAAGCCTGAGGTCATCATCCTTAGCCACATCCATGGATTCGTGCGGCCAACCAGCCCATGAATCATCGCCATGCAAGGTTCCAGAAGAAAAGAACTAGGAAGAGACATCCAAAACGAGCCGTGTGCATAGCAGAGACTCGTCGCAGTAAGGGAGTCCTCCAATTAACCAAAACTCCTAAACGTCCTACATTATAACCCAGTCAACTGCGTCGTCTCAGTCAAAAGTGATCTTCTGGCCTTGAGCCTCCACAATGGCGCCGCTGAGCTTTTGTACAGTACCCTCATCGTACCGGCTGTATTCGGGTTTGCCCTGGCGGCCTTTCCGAGGCCGAGAAGGCTGTTCCTGTCCATCGACGACTTCACTGATCTCTGACTCCTCATTCTTCTTCTTGCCCTCTCCGTCTTTCCCAAATCGCTTCTTGTACCGGGTTGTCGCATCCTCGGCGAATTCCATCCGCATCCGTCTCCCCAAGAGGTTATTCACCCACACGCGTTTCTGTCGGGGCTTCTTCGACTTTTTCGGGGCCTCCTCCTCCGCGTCCCCCTCCTCCTCGTCGTCGTCGTCTTCATTGACCATGACGAATCCCTTCACCGCTGCTTCGGCGGCGGCAAGGTCTTCAAACGTGACCCAGCCATATCCCTTGCATTTGCCCGAATCCTGAAACGTAGCGATATGGACATGCGCCAGTGGTCCACACTGGCTGAAATGCTCCTCCAGGATCTCTTTTGTAGCGTCGAAGCCGAGGTTTCCAACAAAGATGCGTTTTGAGGGCGGGTGACCGGACGCGGTAGAGCCCCCTGCCTGCCCTTCTTCCTGCGATTTCTCTGGCCGACCCGAAAAGTTCTTCGCATCTTTGATCAAGACCCGGCGCCCGGAGAGGAGTTGTTCGCTCAGCCCCAAGGCCTCCTTCATGGCCTTTTCTGTGGAGAAATCGACGTAGGCAAAACCCTTGTTCTGGGACTTGCCGTGCTTCTCTGCGCCCTTGGGCATATGCACCCGGGTGATCGTAGCGTCGGAGAACGAGCAGTGGCCGATGAAGAACTTGCGCAAATCATCCTTGGTGATGGAGAAGGCGAGGTTTCCGATCCAAACGCCGTAGTCAGAGCGTTTTTTGGACGCGTCTTTGTCTTCCGTTGGGGCAGCAGGTTTCACTTCGGTTGTAGCATCTCCGGGGGTATCGCCGGCCTTCTTTTTGGCTTTGCGCAGCGCCTTCTTGGATGGAGGCTCCGGCGCAGACACATCGATCTCGATTTCCGGGACGTCGGGGAGCTTTCGCTTTTTGTGGTTTTCTTCGCCAATGCCTGCCATCTTCTGGTTATATTTCACCCAATCGAGCCAAAATAAGGAAAATCAAGGAAAGCGAATGAAGCAATTGGACTGGTAGCGGATGTGGTGAATAGCCGGGAAATTTTTCTGCGCCGGCAGAAACACTCCGCCCAGCCATCTCCGTCCTTAGCGCCGCCGACTCTCCGTCAGCTTGTCTTTCAACCACTTCCCGTGATCTCAGCAAAACATCACCCATTCCATCTTCCCCGTCTCATCCTAGCGACCGCTGTATACCCCGTGGTCTACTACACGACGAGCTTCTTCAGCCATGTCACAGGAGGTCGATGATTCCCGGTCGGTGGCGGAAAGCCTCCCCAATGCGCCTGATCGCGCCCCTACCAAGCGGTCGTATCGGTCATTCAAGTGCGTGCCTATTACGCCCTTACACGATCGCCATCGCAGATCTAACTGTTTGCAGGAAGAAGTTTGCCAAACTCAAGATCCAGTTCGAGCTACGAATGAAGGAGAGCGAGTCGTTAATCCGGGAAGAGCTCCGCATCCAGGACCTCTCGAAGAGGATCCAGGAACAGAACGAGTACGTCGAACGTCCCTCTGGTATTTCCCCTCAATGCAACACTAACGTCTCCGAAGTCAACTTCTTGAGGTCCTTATGGAGTTCAACGATAGCCTTCATGTCCCGTCGAATCTACGATACGGCCTCGGCGCTCCAGGAGACGGATCCTTCATGTCAACTCCTGACGGACCGCCCTCTGCGTTGCATGATGATGTTACAGCTGCGACCCAGAGACTGAAGGATGCCAAAACGGAGATGAAAAACGGCAGAATCGACATCGATCGCTACCGCGAGTTAGAAGAGGCCATGAAACGGGGCAAAGCGTTCGCACCACAGCTGGAGTATTCGGCCCTAACAAAGTTCCCGCACACGAGCCCTCCCACTGAAGAACTCAACGTGCCCACTGCCAATAGTCTCGAACAGACTTTGGGTTTTTTCACCCCGGAACATGAGACCGAATACTATCTGGCGATGGACGCCAAGCTAGGGGACGAGGCCGCCGCCCTACAGCTGAGCCGAGCCCCCGAGAAACCCTCATTTGCCGAGCGCGAAAGAGAGCTTGCCCTGCGGAACCCGATCTCGGTATACAATTGGTTGCGAAGGAACCAGCCGCACATCTTTCTCCAGGACAACGAAGTTGCGTCAGAGAAGTCTGCCTCCCGGTCGAACCTACGCACGTCCAAAAAGCCCCCCACTACTCAGCCCCGGAAGGATGAGGATACGCACGATGAAGATGGCTCTGTGGATACCAGCACTGCCAAGGGAAAGCGCAAGCGTGAGGAAGACGCCGGATACAAGCCGAAGACTAGCGGTAGTCGTTCCCGCAAGAAGAAGGACGACGGCAGTGCGAAACGTCCATCCAAGAGATCATCGGGCGTCGGCGCCTAGTTTTGAAACGTGACGCGCGACTATCTGTTCTTTTACACTGTATTATTAGTGCTTTGTTTGTCCATTTTGTGATTCGGGTATGTGGGATTTGGTTGGGGACATTGATGAATGGGTTTTCACTGAATGCATTGTTTGGCCTTGAATGTTGCGGCGATCGGTTTATGTCCTGCAAACATGTTTTCACGTTTAATCTCTGTGTACTACCAGCAAATGCTGTAGATTTTCATAAATGTCGGAAGAATAAAATCCTTAATAAAAAATATCATGTTCGCAGGTAACTGTTGATCGTGCTGTAGGTGATTGTATGCTAAGGCACAATTCACGTGCAGTGTTTGTCTCGTTTGCTCTCGAGACCAAAAGTCTCGCCGCAGATTCAACGCAAGACTCTCCACCATCAGGCTCTCTATTTCCTCGTCAAGATTACAATTCCTACAAAAGTCCCTACTTGAGGCCTCTCTAAAATCACACAGAATGGCCATTACCATTCTCCCTCCGGTAGTGGAGGACGTCTCCTACCCAGACTCCGACACGGATTCCATGTCCGTCGACTCCGATGGAGGAGTCGGTCTCGGCGCAGGAGCTTCCAGACCGAGTAAACGGCCTCGACTGGTCGAGGGAACAGACATTAGCTCGGGAATCATCACGCCAGGCGAGGTGGTGACAGACGATCCGCAATGGATGCGGTACGCTGCACGACCTTTGATCTACTCTACTTCTGTGCACAATCGCTAACTCCAACAGAGGACACGGCACCTACATGAACCCGCTATCGACCTCGATCATCGCGACCGTCGCCGGCACCGTGCAGAAAACGAACAAGCTCCTCTCGGTACAACCGCTGCGGGCGCGGTACACGCCCGAAATCGGCGACCTCGTGGTGGGCCGCATAGTGGAAGTGCAGTCGCGACGGTGGAAGGTGGATGTTGCGGCGCCGCTGCTGGCACAGCTCCCTCTCTCGGCGATTAACCTACCGGGTGGCATTCTGCGACGACGCACGAGCGCCGACGAGCTGCAGATCCGCACGTTCTTCAGCGAGGGCGACCTGGTGGTGGCCGAGGTGCAGACGGTGCATTCAGACGGGGCGGCATCGCTGCACACGCGGTCGCTGAAGTACGGCAAGCTGCGGAACGGGGTGTTCCTTGCGGTGACGGGCACGGGCGGCAGTGGCGCCTCCAGTTCGACGGTGAAGGGCGGGGTTGGCGCGGGGGCTGGGTCGGCGGCGACGGGGTCGTCGGGGACCGGGGGTGTGGTGCGCTCGCGGCGACAAGTATGGACGGTCAGCACGGCAAATGGCGGCGGCGACGTGGATGTCATCTTGGGGGTGAACGGATATATCTGGATTTCGAAGCATGCGGATGATACGCCGGCGGCGTCGTCGACGACAGAGAGTGTGTCGATCACGCGCATGGAGGAAATGGTGTCGAGCTCAATCTACTCCAGTCAGAACGATGAGATTGCGCCGCCGACACGACGGGAGATTGCGCGGCTGGCGCAGTGCATTCAGATCCTGGTGCAGGGGGGCGTGCGCGTGGACGAGGAGACGGTGATGGCGGCATATGAGGAGAGTCTGCAGGTGGATTTGGAAGTGGGTGATGACGATGAGGATGAGCATGGAGAGGGACGAGAGTATCTGGAGGGATCGAAAGCTGGACGGATTCTGGAGATGGTGTTGAAGCGGTAGTTTTTTTCCGAACCGCGATATCTCGAACCTCGATACCCTCAAATGAAATGCGCATGTGGCGATGGACATGATTGTGATTGGATTACTATAGGATCGACTGATGCGAATTACGGTATGTATTCTATGCATTTGATCTACAGTAGGAAGCATAGATATTTGTTTCTATATGAAGTCAACCTGAGGCCACCCATGGATCTGGATTACTCAGAAATCACGAGTTTACCTGGACTCTCACCTTGTTTCTTCTCTACTTCTCTTTCTCTTCTTTTCTTCTCTTCTTTGACTCTCAACTCCCGGGAATCATCTTATCGATTCTTATCCTCCTTCTACCATGCCTAGCGGTTCTAAACTATTCTTCCTCCTCTCCTCCACCACCATACCGTTCGTATAGCGCCCAACGTCATACGGGAACCCTTCGAGTATACCTCGACCCTGTGCATCTCTATCAAGGCCAGCCTATATATTCTCTATCGCTCCGATATACCTCGGATCTCATACACTTCTCGGTGCTCGTGCCTGAAAACTCTGTTCTCTACCGCACTTCATTAATTTATCCTCGCTTCTCTCCTCCCTCTCTCCCTCTTTCTCTCTCACAGTTTCTCCCCCTACGTCTACAGACAGACGACTCCCGTCAAAATGCCCGATCTCCGTCGTCAAGTGCTCGAGAGCGGCAAAACCATCTCGCGCAAAGCGGCCTCTCGTGAAGGCTCTCGCCGCACATCCCGCACCAACTCCGCTCAAAATTCTCGCCATTCCTCCCGAAACGCCAGCAGACAGGCGTCCGACGACGAGGATGCCGGTTATCTCAGCGATGAAACCGCGATGAGGTCAGTGTTATTAATAATCCTCTTTTACCTCTCTTGTCTCACCCCTCGATCCCCTCCGCATTTCTTATCGTTCCTGTCCATCATCGCGACGGGATGATGTCATCACCACCCCTCCAAAAAAATTCCCAGAAGTGACTCGTTACTAATCTCCCTCTAGTATTGGCTCCCTGGATGACCTCACCGACAACCCCGACGCCGACAACCACAACTGGACGCAGGAGCTTATCGATGTCGTCCAAGACATCCTCGACCGCAAACGCAGCAGTGTCCTTAGTCGCGAAGAGAGCTACGCCGCCTTCTGCCGCCTCGCAAAATGCCACTATATCGAAGAGAATATCCGCCGCAGCATGAGCGACTTGATGGCTGCCTTCTGCCGTAGCATCCGACAGGAGACCAGCGTGCGCGAGACGACGCTCGCCCTGCGCGCGCTCGAGCTCCTCGCCATCACCGCTTTCGACGACACCATCTACGAGAACGTCGAGCCTGTCCTCACGCGCGCCATCCGCGACTCGACCTCGCACCCGGTCAAGGCGGCCGCCATCCACGCCCTCGGCGCCTGCACCATCTTCGGCGGCGCCGGCGAGGACGCCATCATGGACCAGATGACCTTCTTCCTGGACATCGCCGCGTCGGACGGGCAGTCCATCGACGCCGCCGACGACGCAGGCTGCGTGACGGCCGCGCTACAGGAGTGGGGCGTGCTGGCGGTGGAGATTGAGGATCTCGAGGGCGAAAGCGAGGACGCGGTGCAGATCTTCATGGACCAGCTAGACAGCGGCGAGGCGGCGGTTCAGATCGCCGCCGGCGAGAACATCGCCCTGCTCTACGAGAAGAGCTACACGCCGCAAGAAGACGACGAGGCGTCCTCCGACGAGGACCAGCACCAAGGCTCCGGCGCGGGCGCCGACTCGGACGACGAGCTGGACGGCCGCCCGGCCGACGGGCCCCGCCTCATCAAGCGCTACAACGCCTACCACAACACGCACGAGCTGGAGCGCCAGCTGCAGGCGCTCGCCACCGTGCACGGCAAGCGCATCAGCAAGCGCGACAAGAAAAACCTGCACAGCAACTTCGCCTCCATCCTCACCACCGTCGAGAACCCGCGCCGCGGCCCCATGTACAACACCGCCATCGACCAGGACACCAACCGCCGCTACGGCAGCAAGCTCACCGTCAAGATCGGCCGCCAGGGCGTCATGAATATCGACCGCTGGTGGAAGTGGATCCGTCTGAACTCGCTGCGCCGCATCCTGCAGGGCGGCTTTGCCGAACACTACTACCAGGGGAACCGTGCCGTGCTGGATAGTCTACCGGTTATGGTGCGCCAGGAGACGGGGACGGCGGATCGCTCGGCCGCGAAGAAGGCGGCCAAGACGCGGAATTCGAAGCGGTGGGCAGTGCACGATCATTCGGATGAGGAGATGTAGTCAGCTGATCCCGTGGTACTACGGTACATACATGCGTTTGCACCCCATACATACTGCGTGCACCCTATACACAAAGACAGACACTGAGCAATCAGTCAGACCGGCGTTGTTGGTTATGTTTGTTTCCTTGCGATGATAATGATTGATATACGACTCTGGTTAGTTGCGAATGACAAACGTTAGATCATACTCCGTACGGAATCAGCGTAGAGTCCGAACATCTCACATAAATCATGCTATATACGAAACAACGTAAGTACACTGTGTACACCCCCAACCGGAGGAGGAGTCTAGTCTACGTCTACGTCTTGAACACCGGCACCACGCCGCTCCAGTTGCCCTTGGCCCGCTCCTCCCAGTACCCGTCCTTGCCAGCCTTCAACCGCCACACGACCTCGCCGTCGTTGGCGCCCGCATCCTCATCCACCCGCGCAAACCACCGCGGCGTCCACGACTGCTCCGCGGCTTCCATGTCGCGCCGGCGCGCGCGCTGTGCCTCCTCGAGCTGCACCTTGAGCTCCTCAGCGCGGTCGACATCACCGTCTTCCAGCGCGCGCTGGTCGGGCCGCAGCCGCGAGTCTGTCGCGGGCAGGCGGCCGTCCTCGATGGGGGTGATCTCGTTCAGGGCGGCGGCAAAGGTCGTCATGCCGTAGACCTTTGGGGCGTTAGCGACCAGCGGGCCGGCCTGCCAGATGGTCGAGCCGGTGGCGGAGCCGTTCCGGGTCAGCTGCAGGGCGGCGGTCCAGGAGCCGGTCAGGCCGAGGGGCAGGTCGCGACCGGAGGCGTCGAGGGCCTTGGTGGCAACCTCTTCGCTGCGGCCGGAGAACATGCCACCGGCTTTGAAGACGGAGACGGACTTATGGCCGGAGGACTCGTTGAGGACGGTCATTTCGCCGACAGGCTCGACGTATTTCTCACCGGCGATGATGTTGCGCAGGAAGGAGGTGGCAGGCGACCAGCTGAAGTGCTCGCCGGTCGGGTGCAGCGTGAGCCGCATCTTGCCCTCCGTGACGATCTCGGCTGACTTGCCCCAGAACTTCTGAGAGGGCATTGGCGACTGCGCCAGGCTCCAGTCCTTGCCGTCCGCCTGGTAGGCGAGCTGCACAGGGCGGTGGGAGACCTTTTCGGCGATGAAGCGGAAGCCGAGGTCCTCGCGGACGAGCTCGTAGGTCTCGCCGAGCATGGGGTTGAAGGGTTTGCGGAGGGCGCGCTCGCGGACGCGGTTGCTGGAGAGGGTGGACAGTGCGTAGGCGGTCACATACATGAGACGCTCGACCGCGTCGGGCGAGTGGGCGGCTTTGTCGAGGAGAGGCGCGTATTCCATGACCTCTGCACCGCGCTGGAGCAGTGAGAGTGGCTCGTTGGACGAGACGGGCATAGAGATTTGGGACAGGTCTTTTCCGACGTTCTTGCGTAGGAACCCAATCAAGCTGGGCGGCATGACGGTGGGCGCGGCGATGGTCGACCGGCGAGGCACCGGGTCCAGGGGCAGCGGGGTGAGGGACTTGGGGCGCGCCGGGAAGAAGGATGAGTACCGGTCGTCGCCCGCGGCCTCGGAGATGTCATCGTCGCTGTCGGAGGGAGCGTCGTCGGAGACGACTCGGTCGTCGGCCTTCTTCTCTTCGTTGGCTTCGTCATCGCTGTCGCCGTGGATCGTCAGGAGCGGGGATGTGTTTCCGTCGACCGCGTCGAAGAACTCCTGCGACATGTCCGATTCCATACTCATGCGCGACTGCACTGTCATCGCAGGCGGGTGACGTCGGTGCTTGCTCTCCGCAATCAGAGAAGTGAATTCGCTCACGACGTTGTCGAGGTCGCGGAGGAGGGCCATCAGATTGTCATGGATCTCCTCCGCTTGGTCTGGATGGCTAGAGACACTGCCGGGTTTACGCTCACCGGAGAGGGAAGCAGCATCAGCACCGCCCGCGCTCGAGCCCGGCACCACGAGCTGCTGAGAAGAGGAAGCCATCGTGGTGTTGCGCTTGACGCCGCCGGCCGGGGTGTTTCCACTGGTCTTGCGTTTCCAGAAGGGACGTCGTTCCCGCGCGTCGGCCGTCTCCACACCGTTCGCGTCGGAGGGAGGATGCGGGCTGGGAGACCGACCGCGGGGCCGGTCGTAGGTCAAGTACTTGGGGTCGGTATCCTTGGCCAGTCGTCGGACGGCATCACGGGACCCAGACACCTTGCTCACCAGACTCTCGACCTGTTCCCACTCGCGCTCTTCGGCCGGGTTCGTTGGCAGGCGCAGCGACGGCACGCGGAGTAAGGGCTCGGGTTGGTGCAGTTCCTCGCCGGGGGTCTTGGACGAAGAAGCCTTCTCGAGAGCACGCTTCCACGAGAAGAACTCGCTTTCGTTGCTGGCGCGGAGGTGCCAGATCTCCGCGCCGGAGTCGATGGAAATCTCGCGGGACTTTTCGTTGCAGGCAACTGCAGCTAGGGAGAGTGGGATCGAGCCACGAAGAGCGGACGAGTTCCGGTCATGGTAGTAGGACAAGGTGGACGAGGCGAAGTCCAAGGAAAAGAACCGCCGGGCCCAGCCCTGGTGACGCTTCCGGCGTCTTTTATGTAAAACGCCCGTATGGACGGAGGCCGGGTCGACATTACCGGGTTGGGGCACGGCGTGCGTGACACTGTTGCCCCGGCGTCGCGAGGCGAGAGGCTTGCTCGAGTCCGACGAGTCGGTGCCGCGGGATATCAGGGGACCGCCGGCAGCATGAGGCACGGGGGCCGACTGTGGGGGCAAATCGGTGGGGTAGGTGAGCAGCACGAGAGTGACCGTCTTAGAGAGCTGTTTAGAGAAGGTATTATCAAATACCAGGGCATAGTTGCCGCCTTCGTTGGGCGGGACATCGTAGGTGCCTTGGACAATCTTCTCAGCCTCGCATTTGCCGACCCAGCGAATCTGTTTCAGGCCGATGCCGGTCAGCTTCTCGATGACGGCGGAGGAAGACGCGCTGTGCAAACGCGACGAGGAGGAGTTCGCGGTCGCGGGTAGGTTCTCGTTCGAGTCGGTGCTGTGCGAATCGGTGGAGGGGAGGTTGTTCGAGGAACCGAGGACGGCGGCATGGCCAGGGTGCTTGAAGATGCCGAAATTGAGGGACTTTTTATGCGGCTGGATGCTCCACGAGATGGTATGGCCGGCTTTGACATTGACCCAGCGCACAAAATAGGACTGTAGAGCAGTAGGTGTCAGCAAACACACGGCTTCAGTAGGCCCTCACCCACTGCGTCATTGCCTACCTTGCTGTGGATCTCCAGCTCCTCCATGGCCGCCATGGTCGCGGAAACGAGAGCGAGAAAGGGACAGTCGCGAGAGAATGAATGGAATCGTCTGGTCGTGGATGGGGAGGCGTTTCAGCTGAGGATGAGGCTGCGTGGCCGGAAGGAGAATGTGAGACGGAGGGTATGGGGGGATTGACGGGAATGGGAAGAGGCACGAGGGGATCAATTCATGGAGGGAAGGGAGGCAATTGGGATGAACAAAGGTGGGAGAGGTAAGAGAGAGAGGGAGAGGGATGGAGGAAGGTATAGAGGGAGTAGAGAAGGGTGGAAGAGAGAAGAAGAAGAGAGCAAGACGAGGAATGGAAGAAGTGGTGGTGGTGAGGCTCAGCGTGGTGGTGGTTGTAGTAGTACGGAGGGGGTACCTGTCAGCACTGCTAAGAATACTAGGGGCCCAAAGTACCCCAAAGTATGTACTCCGAAAACCACCGAGGGAATCCCCGCTCTTCTTCACATGAACCCCCGGCTCAGCCAGAGGAGTTATCGTTTTTTGCCTATTCGGGAGTATCTTGCGAGGTGGAGATACTAGGTATACAATGTGTACTAGTAGTCGTTTTGTACTAGTTCTATAGTGGTCCATTTCTTCCATCCATGCATCAATAACACCGTCCCAAAGAAAGAAGAGAACAGAAAGCAGAAGGATATGTAATTACAGATCGGTATACAGAGCCATAGCAGGAATCGAGTTCAAGATCAGTAGAAAAAAGGAAAGGCAAGAATCCAAAATCAATAGTTAGTACACGCTTTTCACCGCCGCTTGCCCGCCTGCATGTTCGTAAAGAGCAGCTTGAACCCATTGCACAACGCCCGCATGTCGGGATACGGATTGCGTTGCAACTCGTAGCCTTGGGGAATCACTTTCACCGGCCAGCTGTGCAGCGGCGCCCGTTCGCCTGCCTTGAAGCACAGGAAGAAGTATCCCGCGTGCTTCGGGTCGATGCAGAATGCGTACGCCGATCGCTTCGGGTTGGCCTTGGTATACGTCTCCAACCATTGATCTGTTCCTCTTAGTGAGATCCCATCCACCAACCCAGAGAGGAGACTTACAGGTAGCATCCCGGTTGCCGTCTTGATACTTCTCATGCAATGTCATCTCGTCCACCTTCTTGGCCATCGCTTTGACGTGGTTGAAGATCAGATCGTCCAGATCGCTGTACGTGTACCGTCCGCCCACCTTCAGCGTGCGACCCACCGAGAACTCGTTCTCCTTGTCCAGCTCCAAGACGTCAATATGCTGGAAGATTCCGTCCGCCACCTTCCAGGTCACCGCCAGATGATCCGGTCCCTTGGACGACGGCCGGATCACCACATCGCCTCGGCTCTGCGTGCCCAGGAATTCCTCCGCCTGCGTCGAGTTGAACGGCCGGAACAGCGGGTGTTTGATGACACGCATCGTCCGTCCGCCGCTCTGCGTCTTCTCCTGCAAGGCCTCGCGATCCTGCCGCTCCTGTCGGTCATCCCATTCGGTGGGCATCCGGTCCGGCACCTTAGCCACCGGCCGGCTCACCTGTTCTTCGCGAAGCGACACATTACACGTGAAGTTCTTGCGGTTCAGGAACAGGATCTTAGCCGGCACCGTCTGGTGCGGCGCGTACAAGGCGCGCACGGGGATGTCATATCGATCCGTGAGCTCCGACTCTGGGACCAACGCCTCGACGCCGCAATCCAACTTCCCGTCAATGTGGTCGTCGCTGACCCGCTTGATAGAAACCGGAACCACCATGCCTTCCGACAAGGTCTCTGACGTTTCACCTGTGAGCATGGTGAAGATCGCATCCGTACTCAGGAAGACAAGCTGCTTGCGTAGCTCCTCATACGGTCCCTGCAGTTCGGCCCGGATCAACTCCAGTGTCGCCCGCTTCCGCTGATTCAGGTTCTTCTCCAGCTGCTCGGCATATTCTTCCAGGATCAGATCGTTCACACGATCCTGCGCCTGTTCACGGAACAGCTTGCGGACAATCGCTCCCGTGCCATTTTCATCCGTCTCCGCCTTGATGTCTTCTTCGTCCAGTTCCAACGCATCCGCCGCCATCTTCCGGGCAATATCATAGTCTTCGGGGTGCACTCGCGTGTTATCCAGCGGGTCGGCATCCGGATCGGTCTGCTGGAAATCGACATACAGGAAGCTGGCGCAGTTGTTCCACACCTTCACTCCCATGGCCGGATACTGGGCGTTCACGCCCAGCAACTCCACCCGGTTGTTCACGACTCCCCCATTCATGTTGACGATCTTGAGCAGATGCGCCGCCTTCCGCGGCCCCAGACCACAAACGTACGGCAGAAGGTTGGCCGTCGCGGTGTCGATCACCGCTTCGTTGATGTCAACTCCCACCATGTTGACGATATCGACCAGTGCGGTTTCAAGCTGCTTCAACAAGAGATCCTGCGAAATCAGTTGTTGGCCCGGCTTGAACTGGATCGACACGATGTCCCGCCCCAGCGAAGCATACTCCTTCAACGGACTCTGCAGGTATTTGCCCAAGGCGACACAGTAATGTGTCAGGGGACCAAAGCTAGGATGATCTTTGCGCGCCCGCTCGCTGTGCTGATACAGTCGCGCCACCTCATCGTTGACAATGATCACTTCCATGGGATCGCGAACTTCCTTGTTCATATCATTCGTGTAGGGGGCACTCCGAATATCCTTCTTTTCGATGGCTTCGCAGAGCAGCTTATACAGCCGGCGCGTCTCGGGGGTCATACCGGACACACCGAGCACATCAGGCCGACGGCGCTCAATCAGGTCAAGTAGCGCGTCCAGATCCTTACCATCGGCAACTCCCCGATCAACGTCTCCCACGGACAGATCAGTGAACTTGCCATTCTCCAGCACGCGGCCATCCTCCTCGATGTAAGCCCAATGGATGGGATCCCGACCAACGATGCCAGATCCTGTCGACAAGGTGAGAACACGAGGGATGGTTCCGATAACCATGCCCTTGGGCTTATACGGAGCTTGATCCAACCGCTGGTAGAAGGCCTCCCGGCATTCTTTCGCCACATGGTTTTCACATTCCTGGCGAATGTTTTCCTTCACACTGCGGTTGATCAGCCGTTCCAGCTTGCCCAGGGCCATGTCCAAAACCTCCCTGCGCAGGCCGTTCCAGGCGTCCGCAAGTTCACTGTAGTTGTCGGACTCAATATCCGGGTACAGGCGCTGGCGGAAATGGTCGAAATTCTCGAACCGGACCTTGACTTCCACCAAACCTTCCTCTTCGGCTTTAAGCATGCGGAGATACAGCTCCGGCCGCCGAGCGATGTCACTGAGCTGTTGATTGCGTAGGTATTTGAATTCGTAGTAGGGATGCTGCTCATCGATTCTTCGCAGACCCTTCTCCGTGCGGAAGCAGTCGACGGCACCGTTCATGTAGTATGCCTGCCGGACGACCTTGCGCATCTTCGGACTCATAACAATCTCTTCCGCGAACATGCTCTTCGCGGCTTTCACGACATGGGAGGCATTGGAGAAATCATTGTCCACGAAACCATCCGCCATCTCGTCTGGACGACTGGTGGGGTCCTCGGTGTACTGACGACGGCCTTCCTTTAGAGCATTCTGCGCGAAAGCGTCGGCTGTGATACCAAAGGCGTTCACGAGACCGTAAGCTTTGCCGTTGCGAACGCGCTCGAAGAAAGTTTTGCTGGTAGCCTTTCGCCGCTGGTTCTCGCCATTCGCGTCGCCGTTCATCAAGGTCAGATCGCGCAGCTGGGAGGCGTACTGGAAATGGATGTAGTCCTGGACATCTTGGAGCTCCTCCATGGTCGTGGCCACCGGGAGGAGTTCCTCCACTACCGGATCGTTCACCTCGTAAAGACTCTGAATGTTGTCGTAGGTTTTCTGAATCGTATTGCGCTTCTCCACCAGGGCCTTGAACTTGAGATCATGGTCGAAGATCTCCCACAAATCTGTCATGTTCAATAGCTTCTCCGCCTTGGTGGTGTATTGGGAGGAATCGGCATCATACCCGTCGGCGGGGACCTTGACGGTATGGATCACGTAGTCCTTGCGGTGATGGAAGATGAAGGGAACCTCCCAGTCATCGGTGACGAGGAACTCCAAGACCTTGGCGACGGAGCGCTGGAAGGGTTCTCGCAGTTCCGGCTCAATGCGCTTCTTGAGAAGCATGAGGTTGGCGATCCATGCGGCCTCCTCCCGGAACTGGTCCTCTGTCAAAGTGACATTCCGGTACGGCTTGCGGGCAATCTGGTGACGTTCCGGCTCATCCAACAAACGGATTTCGTTATCCTCCTCCGTCAACATCTTCTCGGCCAGCTGCGAGGGTTCGAAGACATCCTTCAGGTCCAGATGCTTCTCTTCGTCCTCTTCCTGTTCCTGCTCTTGATCCTCCATCTCCAGGGCAAAAAGGTATTCATTTCCATCACCAAACGCGGCGCGCATATCCTCGAGTGCGTTTTCATCCAAGCCGGTGGCATCGGCGGCTCCCGGACCGGTGAAGCCCCTCTTTGCCGGACGTGCGATCTCCAGATCCTCCCTCTCGCGCTGAACTTCTTCATCCGAGAACACATCCTCCTCGATGAAATCGTCCATCTCATCCATTGGTCGGCGGTGACTAGGACGACCATAGTCGCCTGCCCCTTCCTCCTCCTCATCGGAATCGAAAATGTCGTGGATACCTTGGGAAGTGTGGCGCGAATCGCGATCTTTGTGGCCTCTCTTGAGGCGCTTATATTTGGACTGAATGCGGTTAGGGGACTTGGTTAGCCATGTTGCCACATGCACCTGCGGGATGGACATACTTCAGCGGCGGACTCTTTCAGCGCAGGATTGAGCTCACCGATGAGCTCGAGATCTTCTTCATCCAGATGCTCATCTTCGCGCTCGCGTTCCTCCCGTCTCCGTTTCCGTTTCTCCCGTCGGCGTTCGGCACGTTCTTCGAGTTCCTCATCTTCGTCGACGATGAAACCTTCGCGGACCTAGATGGTAGAGTGACGGTCAGCGGCTGTATCCGACACGGATCATGGACTCGGTGGGCATGGAGCACCTACGGCGCGAGCAGCCTCTTCATCATCGTCATCTTCTTCGTCTTCTTCGCTGGAGTCGTTGAAGTGATTCTCGGTGCCAGCACCCTCACGGACTTCCCCTTCGTAGTCATCGGGAAGTTCCTCCTCGTCATCATCCAGCATGGCCTCCCCCTCGACCAAATCGCGAGCGCTCATTGTGGCTGCACCGGGGGTAGATGGAGCTGCGTGCGGTGGAGGTGAAAAGGGATGGAGATGGAGAAAAGCAGAACCCGTCCCAGGATAGGGAGACGGAAAAGACCGGGTCTGATACGGTCAGCCCGAGGAAAGGGGGAAGAGAATGGAAGAGATGAAAGTGAGAGTCGAGAGAGAAAGCGAGAAAGAGCGCAGTTGTTGTTGCGGCGGAAAGAGCGCTCGTGTGGCGCAGGTGTGGCTGGTGGTCATGTGATCTATACCACATCTAATAGATCCTTGATACAAGGTATTATTGTATTCAACAGTAAGTGTTTGGTCCTGTCTTTGATTTACTGGGTTTACTATTGATCATTATAATCGATTAGTATAGCAGAACCTATGACTATTGTGTGAGGATAATGATATTACCCTGGGCGGTGATATATATCTGCAGCAGTTGAACACTATAAGTCCACATTGCAGTCAATATTCTTAGAACTTCAATTCAATTGATCTGTAGTCACGATATTCAAATATATATTATATAACTTACCTGCACATATTATTTTCACTACAGATTGATCTATGTACAGAACAAAAGTCCTCCGTGGCTGGCCGTCAACTGGTCTCCGCCCGCGACAGAGTTCCCCTCCTCCACCATCCATCATCAACTCTCTCTCTCTCTCCCTCTTCCTCTACCGTCATTCAGACCCCATCCCACCACAACAGACTCCATGGGGACACATCTGATCTGAAATTACCTCTCCCCTATTCGGATAATCTCCTGAACCAAAGGATCTGTCCTCCGCCTCCCTCCCCCGGAAGAACGGCGCTTGTTTGCAGTTCAGCGCCCAATAACTTCAACGCCGCCTTATTGTCTCACAGGCCGATTGCTTTATTTATACCCTCCGGCGCCTACAGATCTAATCGGTATCTCCTTAGGCGGATTGGTATCCTTGCAGGAAATTTCCCTTTCCTACCGACCTGTTCATCGAACTTTTCTCTTCTCGTGTCAACGACCCCTCGGTGACCCGCCGTCACGTCTCCCACCATGGCCGACCAATTCAAAGCCCGTACGTTGAAGCGGAAAAATGTCAAGGGCCTCGCCTTGAACGCGACTCCGAAACCCGTCTCCAACCCCTCCGACGGTGATGCCCAGATTCCCGGAGCTATCGGCAATCTGGACGGTAACCGCACCGACACGCTTGAAATCGGCTTGGAGTTTCGTCTCGACCTGCGCAGTGAGGATCTGATCACGCTGAAGGAGCTGGGCGCGGGCAATGGAGGGACAGTCTCTAAGGTTATGCATGCCTCCACCAAGGTGGTCATGGCCCGAAAGGTATGCAGAGTTCTCTTCCAGTTCGCTGCGGACCACAACCCCTGACCATTCCGACAGATAATCCGCGTCGATGCCAAAGAGAATGTGCGAAAGCAGATTCTGCGAGAATTGCAGGTTGGTCACGATTGCAACTCGCCCAACATCGTGACCTTCTACGGGGCCTTCCAGAATGAAGCCAGAGATATTGTCCTGTGCATGGAATACATGGACTGCGGGTGAGACCTGGCCATATCAGCGGACATCTCCTGAACACTGTTAACCTTTGTCTTCTGTAGCTCTCTTGACCGCATATCCAAGGATTTTGGTCCTGTGCGAGTCGACGTCCTAGGCAAAATCACCGAATCGGTCCTGGCGGGGTTGGTCTACCTCTACGAAACCCACCGCATCATGCATCGCGATATCAAGCCTTCCAACATTCTCGTCAACTCGCGCGGTAACATCAAACTCTGCGACTTTGGTGTCGCAACCGAGACCGTCAACTCCATCGCCGACACCTTCGTGGGAACGTCGACGTATATGGCCCCGGAGCGTATCCAAGGCGGTGCCTACACTGTGCGCTCGGACGTGTGGAGCGTGGGCTTGACGGTCATGGAGCTCGCCGTGGGTCGGTTCCCCTTTGACACGTCCGACTCGTCCGCCGGAGACCGTGCGAGCGCCGGCCCCATGGGTATCCTGGACCTGCTGCAACAGATTGTCCACGAGCCCGCCCCGAAGTTGCCCAAGAGCGATGCGTTCCCTCCAATACTGCATGAATTTGTGGCCAAGTGCCTTCTCAAGAAGCCCGAGGAGCGGCCTACTCCTCGTGAACTATATGTACAGCCCCCCCGTCCGTCCAACCTCAGCCGTGCCGACTAACTCTCCATAGGACAAAGATGCGTTCCTCCAGGCCGCCAAACGGACACCCGTCGACCTCCAAGAATGGGCTATCAGCATGATGGACCGCCATAACCGCAAATCGTACCTGGCCCCGCCGCCACCCAAGTCCCTGAAGGAAGAATCCTCGCATCCCAAGCCCCCTCCGAAGCCGGCCGCGAGCAAACCATCTCGCAGCCCGCAGCATTACACCCCGACCTCCGGCGAGATCCCCGTGAACATCGCCAGCGACGTCTCCTCCCACCAACGGCACTACCACATCCCCTCGAACCCCTCCCCGCGCCCCTCTTACCAGACCCGCTCCCCACTCTCCATCTCGCTCGAGCATCTGTCTCTGGAAACGCGGGAAGACGAGTACCGCCAGGGACGCCGGCCCTCGCGCAACCACCACGCGGACCCGGCATCCGCTCTCGAAGCCCCGCGCCCGTCCATGGCATCGCGCTCCGCCAGCTCCCACAACACCAAATCCCGCATGCCGCTGCAGTCGTCCGCCTTGCCGATTCGCGCGCCGCCCCCGAGCGGACCGCCGCCTCCGCCGCCGGTGCAGAGAAGACTGTGACTCTTCTAAGAAGCCCCGACCTAGACCATCGGAACCGCCAAATCACCACATTGACCTGCTGCGGTCAATACATATGATATCATCTGTTCTCCTTTCGTGACGTGTTGATGCGAAGCACTCTAGATAACGGACCCATAACCGCGCGCTGACTTGATCCATTGATTGAACCACGTTCCTGACGTTTGCATCGGCAAGGCGTATTCATATTTATTCATATTCATCTCTTGTTTTCTTTCCTTCTCTCTGGATGTGCTCATTTCATACCTCACCCATCGCCATCTCTTCATTGTATCCTCTGTCCTTGTTCATTGCGTTTTCCCTTCAATGCCGCTTGGTTATGTCTGTTTGATAGCAATCGTTCTCATGTCATGGAAGCCCTCGTTTCTTTCGTTTCATTTCCTTCATCGCTAGCAAGATGAGAATGGTTGCATGGCCGAGATGGCGAGGCTGGAACTCTTGCATCTTCGATCCGCCAACTACCAACCGACTCATCTTACCTTGTTCCTATCTATGTCTTCTTGGTCGAATGCAATCGCCGATGCGCACAAGAATATACGAGTTGCATATCATCGACGCAATACATTGACTCTCGAGCGTTGGAGGATATCTCTGTTTGTACCTATCCTTTTGCATACCAGCCTACCAACCACCGACTGCCATCGAACCATAACCAGAGGATCCTCGTATTCATTGTAGACATGGAAGAGGGAAGCAAAGAAGCACTGGCGCCGCACCGCATATGCATGCACGCAGACAGATAGACTAATACATCACCGACCTTCATAGCAAGGAACACCACAATCTATCCGCGGGGACGGTCATTTAGAAGCAAAACACAACGAAAAAATCAACATGTTCACCCAGTCTACTGAACCGTTCATCACCACCCCTCTCGACCCAGACCCGACGCCAACAAAAGCAAACAAAAACCCCGAACAATGTCAGAGAAGGCGAGAGATATGTCGTACAGGTTACTTCATCCCGATCTCGGACCCAGCCGTCGCATTAGGGCCTGCGGGAGCAGGCACAAGGTTTGGTCTTGGTGCCAGTTCGACCATCGCCGGCGTCTTGCCGCCGCGTGTACTTGTCGAACCGCCACGGCCTGCAGCAGCACCACCACCGCGTCCATGAGATGTGGAGGCAGCTGCCGACTTGTCGTCTGCGGTCGGGCGAGGTTTGTTGATGCGCCGACGGGAGGTGCCTCCGCGCGACCCGGGGCCGCGCAACGGGAGCCCCGTCTCTTGCGAGAAGGGTACGGCCGCCGCGAGAGGGTGTTGGTGCTGCGTCGCCGGTGCACGACTCCGGCCTCCACGGCCGCGACCACGACCGCGCTTGATAGTTCCGTCCGCGCTGAAAGAAGGATTAGCATCGTTGCTCCGTGAGAGGATCGACAGGGTACATACCGCTCGACTTGGACCTTCTCCCCCTCCGGCACCAGGGGTCCGCTGTACACGAAGAACCCGTCCTTACTGGCCGCGGCCTGTTCCTGCCAGGCAGCTCGCTGTCGTCGACGACGGGTCGTCTCGGTCATACTCTTCATCTTCTTTCGGCGACGCTTCTTCTGC